AGTGACTGCTGGGGAGATTGAAGGCATCTGCAATTGCACATGCCATTTCATACTTAGTCATTTGTTCATTGCCAGACCAGTGAAAGGTTCCCTTAATCGACGGATCCTAAAAACAATGACACAGTAAGTTCCAAAGAGTTTCAACCTAGAGTTAAGTATAACAAATTTTATAAGAAAGCTAACTTAAAAGGTCTAGCAACTAAAATGAAACTCTCCTTTTCTGGAATGCTTTCTACAAGATATCTAAAATCAAACTCATATGAATATTCCTAACTAAACACAAAAAAGCAACTTCTAGAACTTAGCCATAAGGATTTTTAAATAAAATAGAGCTCCAATTTATCTAATTAGTGTAATACTAAAGGTAATTAGATTTTTATGGAAACAGTCCAACTTAGTATTTTTAATTATCCTCAGCTAAAATCACAACTTAGAATCCATCTATTTTTCCGAGTGACCTAAGTTTAAATATTCTTAAAAAGTGTCTTGGTAAACTTTTACGTATTAAAAAACTGGTCATACTATTATTAATATTCTAAATTAAATCAGTTTCTAATCCTTCTTTGTTTGAATATTGTACTTAGTACTTTTTCAAATGTTTAAAATTAACTTACATTTAAGTATCTTTAAAAAATAGTAATGCATTACTCTTAAGTGGCCAAAATGATTCCTTCCTCTTTGGCACTAAATGTATCTTAACTATAATATCCTTCTTCAAATAGCATTAGGTGATTATTCTGTTACCCAAAGAAAAAATAAAAGTTTTTCATAGCCTTGCAATTAGAGAAAAAAAAAAAAAAGATGAGATCTACAGTATATAAGAAACAAAAACATGAGTGTGTATTTTTATTCTTCATACATACAGTCTATTCCCTGTAAATTACTTTTGTTTGATCTCCTAGTTTTGAACAACATTTCACTTTCATTCACTAACATTCCAAGTACGGCTATGAAAGTTTAAGCACAGAAAAGACACAGTGGATCTTCATTAAGATAGAAGTTCGGAACCTTTCCCTCCAAAAACCCACCAGCATCCTCTTCTCTGCTAGCTGCCGACACACAGTAGCTACATCTTTGACGTGTGTGGGAAACCTCTGCTGCCAGTGGTCCATGTTTGCTGACTTGTTGCTGAACTGCACTTTATCAAACATAACAGTCACAGCACTTTCTTCAAGCTTCTCAACTTCTCCGTACAAAATAGGAATCCTCAAAACAGCAGCTCCTAGAGATGAGTAAAGCAGATTTTTTAATGTTGAGCAATTCCTGAATCTACATGTGATATGAAAGTGTGTGATGTAATATCCAAGTAGAAACTTTGTCTTTTAATAAAAATATACTAAAATTACATAGCTCACTTGTAGTAATAATTTAAAAATATTCAAGACCACATTTGTTAAGTGTCTTCTGTCATTTGGAGTATTTTTATATATATCTTCTACAATATGATGATGGTTAAACAAAAAGCCTACCAGGAAACCAAATGCAATGAATAACCCTTGATTGCCAGATTAAAAAATAAAAGCCATAAAGAATATTTGGAGGACAACTGGGAAAATTCCTAATTGTATTGTACCAAATTATGCTACTATATAAATGTTAAATTTCCTGCATGTGGTAACTACATTGTAACATGTAAAGAACATCCTTGCTGTTATAAGATACATGGTGAAGTATTTTGGGAAGAAATCAAGCTATCAATGGGTTTGACAAAAATACATGTATAAAACGAATGGGGATAAACATTAACAATTGGTGAATCGATGTGAACTGTCAGTTTTCACATTATTCTTACAACCACTAATTAAAAAAAGAAAGAAAAAAGGAGCTGGACACGATGGCTCACACCTGTAATTCCAGCACTTGGGAGGCCAAGGCGGGTGGATTGCTTGAGCTCACAGGCTCAAGATCAGCCTGAGCCACAGCCAAGACCCCATCTCCAAAAAATGGCTGGGCCCTGTGGTGGGCGCCTATAGTCCCAGCTGCTTGGGAAGCTGAGGCAAAGGATCGACTGAACCCCAGAGTTTGAGGCTGTTGAAAGCTAAGACACAACAGCATTCTACCAAGGGTGACCAAGTCCTGTGAGCTAAGACACCATGGCACTCTGCCAAGGGTGACCAAGTGAGACTCTGTCTCAAAAAAAAAAAAA